CAATTAGAAACAGAAACTGTAACAGAGATTCACAATTGAGCCGTTTATTTTGAAAGTGGCATAAGTCACTTTATCAACAAAATCGAGTTAATGGTAATACTAATTACAATTGAACGGTATCTTTTCATTTTTAAAAAGTTTGCAATCGATAAGTCGAGAACTATTGAGATTTGATCGAGAGAAGTTTTCAATTGGAAACAGAAATTGCAACAGAGATTCACAATTGAGCCGTTTATTTTGAAAGTGGCATAAGTCACTTTTTCAACAAAATCGAGTTAATGGTAACACTAATTACAATCGAACGGTATGTTTTCATTTTAAAAAAATTTGCAATCGATAAGTTGAGAATTATTGAGATTTGTTCGAGAGAAGTTTTGCTAATTAACGGTATAACAAACATGTTTATTTTGAAAGTGGCGTAAGTCGCTGTACTCAGGAAATTAATTGCGGGGCTTAGTGTAAAAGAAATAGAAACGTGTGGTAAGTGTGTGTGAAGTATTGTTTTGAATTATTTTCAGTATTTTTAACAAAGTTGTGATCACTGGGCTTATTTTTATAAGTGCGAAAGAATAGTGCAGTTTTGTAAATTATATTATATAATTATATTATATATATTATTATATATATTATTATATATATTATATTATGTTATACGCTGGATCTCGTCCTGTTTCTTCAGCAAAATACAAAGACATGATGGACTTGCTTAATTATATACCCCCAATATACCACAGTTATTTTAAAAATTTGAAACAAAACACGATTTCCGAGGACTTAATCACTCCTACTGATGACGAAAATTAAATTGAACCGATGTATTTTCATATTTATGTTTCAAAATGTACTAATAATTTTTTATTTTATGAATATTAAAATGAAAAATACTTGAATCAAACCTTTATATTAAATATGTGCATGGTATAAATTATTATTATACATGTAATTTATTCAACAATTTTAGTAAATCACTGTCCTTTCAAAACATCACTTCGGTAAAATACGTCGGACGAAATTAATATATGTCATTAATATATGTAAACTATTTATCTTGAAAGTGGCCTAAGTCACTTTACCGTAATGAAAAGTGGTGATTTTTTAATGTTTATACGAAATTATTTATACTGAGAAAAATATCAGTATCCTGAGATAACAGATACAAGTAAATCTTCTCGAAAGTTAGCATCCATATTTTTAAACATGTTAAAGATATATATCGACTTAAAAACAAAGTGACTTACGCCACTTTCAAAATAAACGGCTCATATTATAATGCGTTTAGAGAGATCCCCACAACCGGAGGGAATTTGCGGTATCCTATAAAAGAACGCGTATCCTATAAAAGTGACGAGATTCAATTTAATAGTACAATATTATTTCAATAATTGTTAAATTAAAAGTATAAAAATATTTTATTCGATCAATTGGCGTGTTTAACATTAAATTGTGGGAAAATGCAAAAAAAGAAAGAAATGATTCTTAAAAATTAGGAAGACGATTCAAGGGAAGAATCTCTTTAGATTTGGTCCGGTTGACTAATTGTTGACATAGTTTGAATCAATTTTTACTAATTCTTCTAGAAAGTTAGCATCCATATTTTTAGACGTGTTAAAACGCAAACCCTTAAATACATCGACTTAAAAACAAAAAGTGACTTATGCCACTTTCAAAATAAACGGCTCAATTGTCGAGAATGTTTGAATCTGCTACAAAATTCCGTAACCATCGTCGAACGATCGTCGATTCACGGAAGTCGTGAATCGTTAAAAATATTACGGATATTTGTGCCGCGGAATGCCAAAAAAAAGCGTTTGTTTTCGGTGGTTATAATAACCGCGAGCCTTTATTTAGAATTTGCCGAGCGAACGTGTCAATAACAAGAATTCCATGGAACAATATTCCATTCGCAAGAACACACTAGCAGATTTCGTTGCAACAGCGCTGGTAGCCTGTTAACGACACGAGTGACGACGCCAGATATCCATTAAATTTTAATTGAACGCAGATTCGTCTCGATGACTCGACACCGGGTTTGACAACGCGACAGAAATCGCGTTAATTAAGCGTCATTTGATTTCTAATAGATAAACGAAACTGGGTTGCAGGTTTAGAGCTGCCATTGGCAAGAATCGATTATGGACATTGGCGAGCGATTGTGCCAACACAATGGACGCCAGGGGTCTCAAACTCGAAAGCTAACTTGGGCCATAATAATAGGCATAGGACTAGCACAGAAAAATTCACAGCAACCCGAAATTTGGCAATTCCAGCTGAAATCACTGTAGTAGGAAATATTTGCGTTACGATCGACAGCAGGGGTGTCAAACTCAAAAGCTAACTTGGGCCATAATAATAGGAACAGGACTAGCACAGAAAAATTCACAGCAATCCGAAATTTGGCAATTCCAGCTGAAATCACTGTAGTGGGAAATATTTGCGTTATGATCTACAGCAGGGGTGTCAAAATCAAAAGCCAACTTGGGCCATAATAATAGGCATAGCACTAGCACAGAAAAATTCACAGCAACCCGAAATTTGGCAATTCCAGCTGAAATCACTGTAGTAGAAAATATTTGCGTTATGATCGACAGCAGGGGTATCAAACTCAAGAGCTAACTTGGGTCATAATAATAAATAAACAATGCTTGACTTTAGGTGGGCCACAAAAAAAATCAATGTTCATAGAAACAAATATTTTTATTGTGACTAGTACATTATAATAAACATTTTACCGCTTCATATAATGTGAGAGATATAATAATATATAATATATATAATATAATATAATATTAATATAATATATATGTAATATATATAATAATATATAATATATAATGTGATGATAAAAAATGTGACAGCATTTTTGTCCGGTTATGTTAGAAGTCAGGATCATATTTACACAAATTTGTTCATCTATTGCAGGTGTGTCAAACTCAAAAGCTAATTTGGGCCAAATAAACAATGCTTAACTTTAGGTGGGCCGCAACAAAAAAAATCAATGTTCATAGAAACAAATATTTTTATTGTGACTAGTACATTGTAAAAAACATATATAAAGTTAAATTATTGTTTACGTCCTGATACTTGACATCGAAAATGTTCATCTCGGGCCGCGAGTTTGACACCCCTGATGTACGCGATAAACGCGTTCTCCTTCTTCTTCTTCTTCTTCTTCTTCTCCCGTTTTTGTGTACAGTCGCGACCGGCCGATTCTTCTCATTAGGCATTCACTTGTTGATTACGAAACGGGACGCTGGCAAAGTATTGCCGATTCATTATGCAGATTTTGAACAATCTAATTATCATCCGCCGTCGACGAGGTTGTAATATGAGAATTATTCAATGAAATTAGTCTCGGGAGCCTATTAAAGTTCATCGACGAATGCTTCCTTTGTTGCGAAATTGGTCAAGAATGGGGGAAGCTGGAAATGAGGAGTCGAAGAGATGTTACTCGTAATTAGAGGTTTTATGGTTCCTGAGTCGTATGAAAATGATTCTAGTTTAACTTCTTCTTGCTAAAAATTCCAATTTAGGGAGTATATATATGTTATGATCATTTAAAGCGTTTATAATGGGATATTTTAAATAAGTCTTATCGTTTGTGACAATTTTAAGTGTAAAATAATAATAATATTTTATTGTTTCCAATAACTTCTTATCTACTCTGACTCCATTTTCAAGGAAGTATTGGACACGGATTTATTTCGAAATTCGAACAGTCGTCTTTAACACTTTCTTACATTCAAAATATGTACAGTTGCCCACAAAAGTGTTCGAATTCCTTTTCAAACGCAATAACCTTTTTAAAACCGGACTAAGTGATTTGAATTTTTTTTTTAGATGATAGAGAGACTAGTATACTAGAAAATGACCAAAATATCTTCTTTAAATTCTGCTATTATTTTGAATGACAAAAAAAAAATAAAAATCTCGTTTTTTTAACTTTTTTATCTGTGCCTATAACGAAAATTTAAAAAATGTATTTCATAGACATTTCAGTCATTGTCTAGTATACTAGTCCCTCTATCATCTAAAAAAAAATTCAAGTCATTTAGTCCTGTTTCCAGTCATTGCGTTTTAAAAGATGTACGAACACTTTTGTGGACCACCGTGTGTTATCCAAAAATATTCTTATAACACTAAACCTAAACCCCCACTAAATGTGCCAATCAAAATGATGGTTTTCACATTTTCTATTTAAAAATTGTTGAAATTACGAAGAGTCTTTCTTATGAAATGATTCAAATAAATTATTATTTTTATGCGTACATACATCATAATAAAAATAGATCCAAGTAAATTCTATTCTGTCATTCTTACACAGCAACACATGTTTCAATGCTCGATACGTTCAGCGTTAACCGCATTTTGCCCATCTTTCACATAATTTCACTCTTCGGAGTTCTAAATAGATGCTATCGTTCGAGTGCACATTTTAGGCCTCACGATAGAATACAAACACATCGCATCAGCAAAGTACAAATCACACGCGAAGCGTTACAAATGACGGAACTTAGGAATGATCCACCTGAAAATCGCTCGGTCCAAGATAAAATAGCGGCTGCGATCCACAACACGATATTAATCAACAATAAATCATTTCAATTACCAAGTGCTCCCAAGCGACAATGATGCTTCTTCCCCTTTAAATCCCGTGATATAAAAGGCCAGTTCCAAACCACAAAGCCCATTACACTCTGAGTGCTCAGCCACAAACGCTGCACCTGAGTCGTAATAACATCCTTCGCCGGCGTTATGGCCCAGGTTCCCACCTCCTCAGGTATAAACATAAATTCCAGCGACACCCCATAGAAAGTACAAAGTCGAGCTACCTGTCGCGTCCTCGACGATTGACGACCAGGGGCCGAGGCATCGGGGCGTCTTTCACGGTCCGAAAATAACATTACCAGAGGATTAAAGCACCTTCGAACCCGGTTTTTCAACGCGGTTCAACCGGGATCCCATAATAATCTGCTTTATTCCCCTTCTTTTTTTGTCGACAGGACGTGGAATTACTGGAGGGTATCATTCCGCCGGACGCGATGGAGGTGGAGGTTTCCCACTGCAGGGAGTTGAGGATCCAGTCGGGTGCGTTCGCGGACGGCGCGCCCTTGAAACGGGTCCACGTGTCAGGCATTTACAGCTTGGTGGCGAAGAGGCAGGCCTTCCAGAACCTGAGCGCGCCGAACACGCATCTCGAGGTGTCCGAGTGCAACAGCGTGATCCTGGAGAGCCACGCGTTCAGGAATTCCCGCGGGACGCTGAGCGTCTCGATATCCAGGTGCAGACACGTCGGGATCAAGCCGAACGCGTTCTCAAGGCTGCTCTGGATCGCGGTCAGGGAGGTGCCCGAACTGGAGCTGTCCAGCAACGCGTTCAAGCTCGAAGCTTCTCAACACGGCAGGCATGGACCAGCGACTAAGGTCAGATGATACACGAGATTGTATTCCGTTGCGTCGCGATAAGCCGCGCCGCTGTTTCGACAGCTGGTCTTTCTCTGTTTGGTACAGTGATTCACGAAAGTGCTCGAATATCTCTTGAAACGAAATAATATCTTTCAAATTGAACCAAATCGCTTGAATTTTTTGGAGATTTTGGAGGAACTAGTTTACCGGGCAATGTCGAAACAAATGTCTCAACGAGAACACAAATATGCATATAAAATGCACGTATTTTGTGGGTATAAATACCCACGGAAATGCGTATACAGGGTGTCCCAAGAATGTCTCGCAATCCGGAAGTAGGGGATTCCTGAGGTCATTTGAAGCAACTTTTTCCTTAGCGAAAATGCAATCCGCGGCTTTGTTTACGAGTTATTAACGAAAAACAGTGACCAATCAGAGGCGAGCTCTGCTGGCGCCAGCGGTCGAGGCGGTCGAATCATCCCAGCTCAGCTGGCGCGAGGCGACCGAGTCAATGAGCGGAACTGGGCTCTGCGCACTCGTTGGCTGGACCGCCGCGCGCCAGCCGAGCTCGCCTCTTATTGGTCAGCGTTTTTCATTAATAACTCGTAAACGAAGCCTCGGAGAAAATTTTCGCAAAGGAAAAAGTTGCTTCGAATGACTTCAGAAACCTTCCATTTCCGGATTGCGAGACATTTTCGGGACACTCTGTAGAATGTTTTTTTAAATCGTCGCAACTGAAAACGTTAGGTGGCTATTTTCGGATGGACAATACGAGCTGTCGGAAGCATCATAAAAGAATTACTTAACGGTATTACTGAAACGATACAAACTGAGCCGTTCCGAACTCTTTATTTTCCAATAAAATTGTACAGGTTCTCCTGTAGGAAAGTTTTAAACGAATTCATTTGTGCGCGCACAGATGCTTCAGCGCAAGCAGCAGTGAATGCAAAAGTTTTGACACGTAATTACTGATTGCGCAGAGTTTGAAAGAACAACGTAACAGGATTTTAAGATTTCCGAGATAGTATTTTAGCATTTGATAATTTTAATGCCGAGGATTATTAGTAATAGTGATGAAAGAGCGACCCCTATATATTTGTTTGTAATTTGGTACGGATTATTGAGAGTTAAGCAATAATTGGAAATTTAAAGACACTGTTTCGAGCATTTGTTCGAACCATTTTTACATTGTTGTCCATGTTTTGTTATTGAAACGTACGGTTCTTTGTATGTTTCCTAATATTTTCTGCGCAAATCATTTTTTTTTTATTAAAATATGTAAAATATTAATATCTAATTTTTGAAATATTTGGCTGAGAACGTGAAATAGGAAAATATAAAAGGAAGGTATTGTCACTATCGTCACTGTCGTCAGTGGTTATCAAAGGAAAAATTTGTGGGAATCTTTATTCGACTCATCTCGAATGTAGCGTTCGTTAATATTTTTATTTTCTCGGTGGCTAGACTTATATTCTATAAAATCAATATTTCCAGTAATTTCGATTTTCCCCGTGAATAGTCGAAAGAAGCATTCGTTAAAATGACTATAGCTTTTTAATGACCGAAGTACAACGCTATCATTATATCGGCCCCAAAAACAAAGGTTATGTCAAGGTTATGTCAATAAATAAAATCAATATTTCCAGTAATTTCGATTTTCCCGGGAATATTCGAAAGAAGCGTTCGTTAAAATGACTATAGCGTTTTAATAACCGAAGTACAACGCTGCCGTTATATCGGCCCCAAAAACAAAGGTTATGTCAAGGTTATGTCAATAAATAAAATCAATATTTCCAGTAATTTCGATTTTCCCGGGAATATTCGAAAGAAGCGTTCGTTAAAATGACTATAGCGTTTTAATAACCGAAGTACAACGCTGCCGCTATATCAGCCCTAAAAGCAAAGGTTATGTCAAGGTTATGTCAAGGTTATGCCAATAAATAAAATCAATATTTCCAGTAATTTCGATTTTCCCCGTGAATATTCGAAATAAGCGTTCGTTAAAATGACTATAGCTTCTTAATGACCGCGTTGTACAAAGTACAACGCTACCGTTACATCGGCCCTAAAAACGAAAGGTTTCATTACAGTTTTAGTTCAGCGTCGCAACGCGAACCCGGTATATCAAGAACACATCGATATCGTCGATCAAGGTTCCCGCCAGAGTTTATGAAACCGTGACGTTTGCATTCGGGCCGGCTCGCCCGGCGAAATATTCGAAACGCGTGTCCGCGGCGGCTTCAAACGTTTCCGGTCAACTATTCTTTTTACGACTACTCATTGCGTATTCCGGCAAAAAAAAAATCTGAATATTTCAGTGTCGCGTGTGTACACCGGCGGCCCGCGTTTACAACGTCGAACTTTTTAATTTTCCGGCATACCGGTCTCTAAAAATAAACCGGACAGCTGTACACACTCGGCGAACTTACAAATTCACCGGCCCCTGCCTGTGTGTATATCCGCGGCGTCGCGTGTCCTTTGAAACTTGGACAAAATCGCTGAAAGCCCCGCGCAACATCACAGAATTCATTTATGGGAACGTGTCAAAAAAAAAACCGCGATCGAGTTTTCGCTGCCGGTGGCGTTGCGAATTGCGCGCGAGTCACGTTTATAAAAAGCCGCGGCCGGTTCTATCGTGGTGCCGTGTTTACACCATTTCGCCGCGGCGATGAGCCAATCGATCGTGGAGAAATGATCGCGATAAACGCCCCGGCACAGACGGTCCTGGCCCGGCTGTTGGCGTTCCTCCAACCCAACGACCGCGCCAACTTCCTCGCTGGTTTCCGCTGTAATCTCGATTCTCGAAATTCCTCCGTGCAGATTATGTTCCAAAGCGTGAGAATCACGGAGCTGCCCACCGCGGTCTTTCCGTCTGCGATCGCGGAGGTCCGCATGGACGACATCTCGACCAAGGTGATCCGCAAGGACGCGTTCTGCGCCATGACGATCTTCACCGTCACCATCAGCAACGCGTCCATCTTGGAGATCGAGGCCGGCGCGTTCAGCGACAGGGCCCTAATTCAGAGTCTCGAGTTCGTTGATGTTCGGTTGAAGAACATTGAACGGGGCGCATTCAGAGCCGGCCACGACAATCTCACCATTCAATACTCAAGGTAAATTAGTCCTTTGGTTACGAGCCCACTTCGCGGCTCTTATCTCAGAATTTTGTTGTGTCATTATTTCGCAACCTGTTTGGGACGGTTGGGAAATAATAACATTTTTCTCAGTTGTCGTGCAATTGTCGCGTTACGCGTGAACATGATGTAAATCAGCAAAATGAGTGGGTCATGTGGGTCAGCAAATATAAAAGATTAATTTTGTTAATTGATTTATATTAATTTGTTATTAATTTAATATTTGTTTGTAGTAATATTTGTTAATGTAATGTTTGTTGTGTTTTAATATTTGTTATTAATTTATATTAATTTAATAATTAATTTGTTTTATTAGGTTTTGTGGTTTAAACGATTGAATTTTTATGCTTTTGATTTTGATTTAAATTAGATTTTATAATAATGATTTGTAATCGCAATTACATACATACACGTACTAAATTTTAGTTCGCTAGATTCGATCGGGTTTTTTTTTGAAGTCCCAAATGTTGCAGCGAATATTAAGCATTTAGATGTCTCAATATTTCTATATTATATTTATCGTGAATTTATCGTGCATTTATCGTGCATTTAATCAATTTATTCCACAGTTATCTAGAAACGTTATATAACTTCGTGAAAATTAACTTCGTGAAAAATGAGTGAAAATGTTTTCGTATAAAATTGAAAAGACATTTGTTAGACTCGGATATGGCATGTGTAAACGAATGTTTGAATTTACATACTGCGAATATTAACGAACGTAGCTAAAAACAGTAATGATAAAGAAATGTTCTGTTGAGCGTTTATTTTTATTTTTTTACTAGACTAAGATTACTATAAAAGATAAACTATTTTGAGGGATAGTTCTCGTGTTTTAAGAAATACTGTTTGAATTTACATACTGCGAATATTAACGAACGTAGCTAAAAACAGTAATGATAAAGAAATGTTCCGTTGAGCGTTTATTTTTATTTTTTTACTGGACTAAGATTACTATGAAAGATAAACTATTTATAGTTCTCGTGTTTTAAGAAATGCTGAACATAGAACGAAGCGTAGTAATCAGATATAAAGATATATCAAAGACGAGTTAGTTTCGTAATGAGGATTTACAATGAAAATTTATAAGGAAGATCGAGTCTAACAAGTTTGTAAAGTTACTGTTCATAAAATATGTTAATTCTGTCCGTTATTGGCTGAAATTAAAAACCCGTCATCCCAATCTGCATGCTCATTATTATAGCATGTTGTCGGGAATATACCGGATACGATAATAAATGGTTAATGATGCATTGGGTTATACCTAAGGGGAAAGACTTCGTTTTCATTAGGCAAGAATTGCTTTTGAATAGAAAAAAAAGAAAACGCACCATATGTATATAATTATGAATTTACATACGAGAATTCAATTTTTACACTGAACACAAAAGCTGCAGTGAAAATTTTCAACGTCTTAATTTCTTATTTTATTCTTCAATTAAGATGTCTTTCTCTTCAATATATCAGAAAATCAGAAATTTAGCAAATCAAAATTTGCCATTATTATACTACCATAGTCTGTCCATTGTTCAATATTCTTCACTTATCGTTTAGTTGCACTTCCGCAATCCGAAATAGAATCACTATTTTCATATAAATCTTGCTTAGATCGTGTAAAAATTAACCGTTTGCAAAGGGTTAATTTTCTTCTCGAATCACTTACCAAAAACTCGAAGGCATTTATTCGCGAGTAAGTAATGCTTCGAAGAAAATATAAAACGATAGAATATTAGAAACAACTAGTCCGTTTAACACACTGCCGAATATAAATCTCGAGCATTTCCACAATATCGAAGTAATTTCATTAACGAAGTCAAAAGTACCATAATTATCGTGCAGCTTTGTTACGTACGTCCCTTGAGAGAGAGAGAGAGAGAGAGAGGGAGAGAGGGAGAGTGAGAGGGAGAGAGTGAGAGAGAGCGAGGGAGCGAGAGAGAGAGAGAGTGAGAGGAAGAGAGAGAGAGAGAGAGTGAGAGAGAGAGAGCGAGAGAGGGAGAGTGAGAGAGAGAGGGAGAGTGAGAGAGAGAGAGGGAGAGAGAGGGAGAGTGAGAGAGAGAGAGAGAGAGAGAGAAAGTACATCCGACTGCAAACGAACTACCGAAACCGAAGTAAGTCCATAAAAAGTAAACATTCAATTTTCGCAGGCTCTCCGAAGTGGAGACCGGCGCCATAGACATATCCGCGGCGACGGTCAGCTTCAACAACAACGAGTTCCAGAACCTGCACCAGGGCGCGATCATTCTGCACCAGTGGAACCACATAGCGATCGACTACAACTTGTTCGTGGACCTGGAACCGGACGCGATCACGGCGGAGGTCGACGCGACGTCGGCGCCGAACTTCGAGTTCTCGTTCACAGGGAACCACATACAAAAGGCGCGGCCCGGTTCCCTGAAATTCGCCGCGATCTCTCAGCGGGTGAACAAGGCTCGCGTGGGCAACAACTACTTCAAGGAGAAGTGCAACTGCAACCTGGAGACGTGGATCCGCGAGGTGACCGGCAAGAACAGTTCGGTCTCGTGGATGATGGACTCCAGTTACTGCGTGGTGGACCAGCTGCTGGACAGGTGTTTCAACCTGCCGCAGGGCTACATGTCGATGAGGAACTTCACGAAGGTGATCTGCATGCCCGGCGACCATATATTCTGCGAGAAACCGTCGGCGAAGCCCGAGCCGAGCGTCAGCCCGCCCAGCGTCGGTCCCCACGTCTACCCGCGACACAAAGGTTACTTCGACATCGAGCTGAGCGACTCGGAGCAGCTGCAACGAGAGAAAAGGATCATCGTGGTGATCTGCGTGGTCGCGGTGTTCATCGTGCTGATAGTGATCCTGGCGTCCGGAATGCTGTACATGCGCCGGAACGGTGTATGCCCGAAGCTGACGTCCGGCCACCTGATCAACCTCGCCAGCTGGTTGTCGCCCAGCAGCGGGATGACGGCCGCGACGTCGGCCCGGTCGATATCCAGGTTGAGCGTGCACGAGTACGCGGGTCTTCAGCCGGAGACGAGGATTCTAGAGGTGGAGACGCAGCCGGAGGCGACGGAGGACGAGGAAGAGGAGGCCGAAGGACTGTACCCGTATACCGAGAACAAAGCCACGCAGACCCTGCCGGAGGAGCTGACGGAGGAGTACCTGAGGGATCTCAGAGAGCGGCTGAACGATCCTGATAATTACAACCAAGCCAGAGACATGATAGAGCACCTGTACGATCTGATCAAGGTGGAGGAGAGTTGCAACAACAACAACAACAACGACAGGCAGCCAAGGGGCAGGGAGGAGAACGCGTACGACGTGATCCGACCGAAGCAGAGGAAACGAGGGCCTCCGAAGCCGTCGGTCAGCGTGGGCACCAGGACGCCGTCCTTGGAGAAGCTGATGCCGAGCGGCATCCAACCCAGGCCGCCCTTGACCGAGTACACGGAGCCCAGGGACCAAAGGGCCCCCGAACAGAACCATTTGTACGCGGAACTGCCGGGTGACGAGACCGTCCCCAGCACCAGCAGACTGTCCCAGCCTATCCTAGCGACTCTGGCAGGCAGAGCACCGCAACCACTGCCTCCGGATGTCGTGAACGATCACCTGATCAACGTCCACGCGAGCCAGCCGTTCGACAACCCGAAGACTGAGAACCACAGGCCACCGGACAGCCCGAAATTCGACTCGAACAGAAACCAGGGCAGACCCATGAGCTTCCTGAAGGCTCTCGGCGAGAGCATCCTCGGGGGCGCGAAGACCGGGAACAGCAAGAGGCCGAACTCGTTGCTCTGCGAGTACGCGGAGCCGTCCGACGCGACCGCTCACCTGTACTCGGAGCTACCTGAACCGCAAACCTCGAGCCCGGCCGGCAAGATGGCGAACAGGCCGCTACCCACCAAACCCGACCAAGATTCCGTGAACGTGGCGAGGGCATAACGACGCCCGTCGTCGACTGTCTGTGATATAAGCGTGCGCGAAGTCGCGAACTGAAGAGATCGTATTCTCGCCCTATTTTCCTTGATCAGTGCTCGGGGCGACCGGCGACCGGGCGCACACTGCCGTGGATGAATTATCGTTACTCGAGAGAGAGAGAGAGAGAGAGAGAGAGAGAGAGAGACCGGCTCGGCTGTTACGGGACTATTTTGTAAGCTTTGTATAAAGATAGGGAAATTATGGCGCGAGGCGGACGCTCGGCCGGGTCTCTATGGTTGGTCTTCGAACTCGCAGCGAAGTCCTTATTTAACCTTTTAGGTACGGCTGAATTCTGCGCGAGGCTATTTCTCTGGACGGCAGAGTCTGATGTGTACTGTACAGAGTCTGATACGGTATATACAGGGCGTCCCAAAAATGTCTCGCAATCCGAAAGTGGCGGGTTCCTCAGGCCATTCGAAGCAACTTTTTCCTTTACAAAAATTTTCTCCGAGGCACCGTTAACGAGTTATCAACGAAAAACAGTGACCAATGAGAGGCGAGCTCAGCTGGCGCGGAACTGGGCTTCGCGCGCTGGTTGGCTGGGCCGCCTCGCGTCAGCCGTACTCGATTCTCATTGGTCACCGTTTTTCGTTAATAACTCGTTAACGGTGCCTCGGAGAACATTTTTGTACAGGAAGAAGTTGCTTCAAATGATCCGAGGAACCCGCCATTTCCGGATTCTGAGACATTTTTCGGACACCCTGGAGACTGTTGTAAATCGATGCGAAGTCAAAAGAAGTGTGAAACAATGCGTATGAAGACGATTATTTGGTTCAAACGATGAGCGAGTGAGCAACTAGAGCAAGCCACTATAGTGGCGCGTCGTCCAGAGAGATGACATCCGCGAAAGCCACTATAGTGGCGCGTCGTTCTAAAAGATGATATCCGCGGAAGCCGCTATAGTGGCGCGTCGGGCCTAAAAGGTTAAACCGGCCCCGACACCGGCGGTTATGTATCATAGATTTCTATATATTTGCTTCGTCAGGTATTATTAAAGGAGTATTTCACGTGCTTCGTCTCCGTTTCATTTCGTTCCCCCGGAACCTACAATTACGAACTCCCTTCCATCCTCCGGGCCAAAGGCCGCAAGGAATTACGCGGTTGCGATACCCGACCGCGATCGTTCCGCGGCTCGATCTCCCTCGAAACTGCAATAATCTACCGGGGCTGGATCAGGAATTAATCTCGAACGAAACGGCGCAGGATAATCTACGGGAACGATCGCTGTGTCTCGACAGGTATGGCGGTATTTTCAGCTTCTCTCGCGCGAGACGACTCGTCGACTCGTTGACTCGGCTTGCTGGTGTCGCTGTTTGGGCTGTGGCTGACGGAATGGAACCGCGACTTTATCCCCGGCACGGAAAATTCGTTCGCGTTTTAACGAGCCATGGCTATCCGAAATTGGTCCTTCGCACGAGGAGAGACCGCAGCTAAGATTCTCTTACATCCGGCGAGTTTAAGAGACTGGGTTTCTCGTGGAACGTTCTTGGCAAGGCGAACTCGGCTATCTTATGTCGGAACTGTGTTACCTTGTCGTTGCAAATTGCATGTTGTATTAACATTTGAGAGTCTTGTTATAGATATTAGATTCTATTGCTCGACTTTGATTATTAATTACGAACTTGTTTAATTTTTCTTTTCCTTAATATTATATATTATATATTATATATATTCTATTATTAGAATTATATATTTTATATATTATATTATTAGAATATTGTATATTCTTTCCTTAATATTATAATGAAATAACGTTTAAATAGGTCAAGAGTGCAGATTTGTAATGTAAAGAGAAACGTTTATCTTATGCAAAATCAATAGCATTTTTATATTATTTTGACTCATCTTGCTTTCTATGAAACAACCTGAATCAATATGAGTTTCCATAAATAGATCCACAGTCTAGTATTGCCAGAGGCGGTTAACTTGCTTATTAACACTCTCTGAGACTCGCTAGAAAATAACGCCCTTCGAACGTAATAAGCACCATTATCATTCATTGAACGCAAGACAAAAAAAGCGCACGTTTGCAATTACAATAAAATTACTCTTCCGGGAACAATTAACAATTAACAGTAACTAGTGATCGCTGTTCTGAAGATGAGATTGAATGGAAAAAATTAAAAGTAAAAATAAAATAAATTGTGCTTCAAATTAAAAGATGCAAGTGTTCGCGAGTAAAACGAACAAATAATTATCCTTAACAGAAATGCGCTTCTAATGTCATCGTAGACATAGACGTTCCGTATTGTTCAAAATAATCAGTAAATATCACCAACAACATGTTTGTCATCACCTCAGCGATATGACCATTTAGAATTTGTTCAAAAATTCGTATTTTTATTTATTATTATTTATTCGTAATATTATTTAAATAATATTATTATTCTTATAATAATTATAATATTATTATATAATATTATAGATAGATATATTATAGATATATTATTATAATAATAATATTACAATATTATTATAATATTATTATTATTATTATAATATATCTACATATCTATATATCTATAATATATCAATCTCTTATAATATTATTATTAATATTCGTATTATTATTTATTATTATTTATTATTATTTATTCGTAAATTACGCATACACAAATGATGAACAAAAAATAACATCCGCACCGAATTTTATTTAATTCGCACGCGTGTCTAGATGTTAATCATCTCGTCGCTGGAAAGAGACGCGAAACTGCTTTCCGATGCGAAGCGTCAAGAATTGGAGGTGACCCTCGTGGTCCTCGAAGGGTTCGACCTCTACCTAAGGCCGAACCTCTCCTGGTTCCATCAGATTTTCATCATCCTTATTTTCCCTGCCGCTGGCCGGCCTTCGAGACACACACCGTTCCCTTATCTCGGTGAAATTTATAAATCCAGAGTGGCTCCCGATTGGAGGGCCTCCTCCCGGCGTTCCTCTCGGTCGGGGGAACGCGGTCCGAGTTCAAGGGTCGACATGGATATTTTTTCTCGTTCCACGCGTGGCGCAGCGGTGCTCATTTTCGGTGGGAATCGGTCGTGCCGCCGGCCCGCGAGGAGAAACGGTCCATTCGGTTCGGCCGACACCGAGAAGTCCCCCGAAAAGATATTCTTAATCTCTTTCGTTCTCTGGGCGTAGTCGGTGTATATCCGCGGCGAGACCAAACTATTCCACGAAGAATGCGAGAGGAGCAAATAGAAGCGGCTAGCTGGGGCGGGCTGCGATGCAGCTGTTGATGTTCAAACGGCTGTTGCCTTTCTCGCTCTCTCGCTCCTTTCGCCGCGATCCCCGGTGAAAAACCAGAAAACTTCCAGCGAGAAAGGAAATAACGCGAGGTAAAAGGTCGCAGGGGGACGCGAGGGTACGTTGGCTGCCGCGAGGGACCTATGCGAAATGAATTTATGACCGCAGGTGAGCTTCTCTATTGGCGACGGTTTTAGACACGGTTTTAGACATGTTCGTGGACATTCAGTGCCGAATATTTGGTTCGATTGTAAAATAGGACGGTCCCTATTTTCCGACTTTCGATTCTTTCTAGCCTTAATTATGGCATTTGCTGCAAAAATGATTTGCGCAGAATTTCAAGATAAAGTTTGTGCAAAAATTGGGAACCTAGCCTTAATTATGACACTTGCTGCAAAATTTCAAGATGAAGTTTGTGCAAAAATGGGAAACCGTGCCGCATTTGCGTTAAAGTTGATCGATGATTTAATTTAATTTTCGAAGTAAATTGTATCTCATTACTGTTGGAAATGTTGAACGTGAATAATGTAAAATGTATCTCTTCAAAAAGGTCAATTATCAGAACCTTCAGTTACTAAAGATCAATTTGTAATATCAATTATTTTGAATCCATAGGAAATGTCGGACTGTAGAAGATATGTTTGACGAGAAAATTGTATTCGTCAACGACTAATGCAAGAATGTAAATGCATTCGTGACACACGAAACAGTAGATACATCGCAATAATTGAAGAATATTGTTTTACTGTATTCAATACGGTAAAATCGTTGAGAGAAGAAATAAATCTGTATTTTGCGTAACGATTCACGGTTCATTTTTTAAGCTTTAATTTTTCAACGACAACGATTTACTTGATTACGCGAGACAAATGGTGTTCATAAAGATGCCATATTTGTTGCAACTTATACCACTAATATACATATCTGGAAAGTATTGCGCGAACTGATAAGGATATAAAGGTTTGTGTAACTTATGGTTTCCCGGTTTAGAACAATCGTCGCTCCATCTCGACGGCGTGTAACACAATTTTCGCGTTCGGAAATTCCAATAATACTGAAGGAAGCTATATGCGAGGGAAATATTCCCGAGGAAATACGCGCGGAAATCACGAGAAGCCGCTTCGATATTGAACGGACCGCCATTAGGAAAAATGTACCGCGAAAACGCTTTAGCCAACACAACCACCGGAAATCCAGCATAGCCGAGAAAACAAACGTGATATTTCTTGCACGGCCAATTTCCCTCTGTCCCATAAAGCGCGATTTTTCGTAGTTTTCAGAATAAACTTGCATCGGACGATTCACAGATCTCGTACATACTAGGGCCCATCGTCATTCTTCATTTCTGCATAAAATGCACCACCACTCTTTTAATTGTTTATTGATACGAAGAGATGTTATAACAGTATCGAACTCATAAATCCGAAGATTACCAGGATCGTTACGATCTACGAGCCTGAAGAGGTGAGATCAACTTTTTAAAGATTCCTCAAAAAGAGCTGCGCTAATCGTCGAATCCTTGAAACTTCAGAATAACCCACATGATGACAGTCATCGAGATATCAGTCAAGCTCACGAGACACCTATTATTACCCTAATAGTCTCGGGATCGCTAAGGTTTCTTAATACAATGATGTCTCCCTTACTGACGCTCAGATTGTGCAGAAAAACGAACAATTTGGGAAGAGGAGATACGATTGTTCGAGCCTTGCGGCTCGTTTTTATAATTGTGGACAATTTATAACTATACAAATAAACCGCAAAGCTCGAATAATCGTATCGCCTCTTCCCAAATTGTCCATTTTTGTGGACAATCTGGGCGTCAATTAATGAGACATTACTGTATAGTAATGACGCTCAGATTGTGCAGAAAAATGGACAATTTGGGAAGAGGAGATACGATTATTCGAGCCTTGCGACTCGTTTTTATAATTGTGGACAATTTATAACTATAAAAATAAACCGCAAAGCTCGAATAATCGTATCGCCTCTTCCCAAATTGTCCATTTTTGTGCAGAATCTGGGCGTCAATTAATGAGACATTACTATACAGTAATGTCTCCCTTACTGACGCTCAGATTGTGCAGAAAAACGGACAATT